TGATTAAGGATTAAAAAACGTAAGGATTATTCGATTAAATTTGATGGGATTTTAACATTAATTGAAATGCAGAAATCTTAAAAAAAGGCTTACAATTTTTTGAAAAAATAAGTAAACAAATAAAATGTAGAAAATGTAATACTTTGTTTTTATATGTTTTTTTCTAAATATTTGTAATGTTCTTTGTAAATTCATGTTCATAATGAGGTAACTGATATAATTTTGTACAACTTAATCTTAATAATGTATTAGTATATGTAAAAAATAACATTAATCTAGATACAGTTGGTTGTTTCAGGAATTACGGTTGTGTTCAGAAATTAGTTTAACTGAATATTTGTTTGATAACATGCAGATGTTGTGTGTTAGATAATAGCTGCTCATTTTTAGTTTTGTGGGTCTAAGACTGTGTAGTTTGTCACAGTGTATTTTATTCACTGCCAGACATGTTTACAGGGCCTGAAATGGAAACACAGAATTAACCATCCCGCAGCCATTGGACCTTGGAGGAAATAGATCCTGTGCTTTCAGTCACAGCTGCCTCTGTTTAGATGTTTTACACCAATTGCCCTTCAGTCGCTGTGAGAGTGAAATCTTTTCTGAGCAGTGGGTTTCCTCAAGGTCTTCCTTTAGCTTTCCTCTTACAAAAGCGTATAGCTACTCGGGTGTGAATTAGAGCTATTTTATAATCCTGCATCTTCAGCATCTCATTTTAGATATTTTCTTTAAATAAAAGGGGATGTTTAGGGAGTTTGGGGTGGGATATTAACTACTATTTTTGGAAGTGGAAAGCAGTATGTGTACAGTGCATATCATGCATATATTTTTCTGTAAGGCTAGTTTTCTAATGAAACTGAAGCCAGGAACAAACAACACTCAATAAAACAACAAATATACAAACTTGGGAGCAGAGATCCATGAATAAAGGGAACAGGAGGACCATCATCTGGGAGCATTTAATTACTGTTCATCAATGATTTTGCATGTTTTATTAACATGAGTAAAGGCTGGAATAAACTACACAACTTTGCCCCAATTTCAGTCACTAGAGGGTGTGCGCGTGACGTCACCGTTGGCCGGAGGGACTATGGTTACGCCCACGAATGGCAAAAAGACTAAGCGGAAGCATTGGTTTTCAGCGTGAATGCCACGAAAAACACAAAAACACATCTAAAATGGGAAAGAGCTTTGAGATTGACTGTATAGATTTGACAAGCAATCTGAGGAATATTTTTACAGACTGCTAAAGGGTACAGAAAAGAGAAGCAAATGGATCGCTGCGATTCACAGAAAAAAACTGGACTCCAAGCAACGAAACATGGATTTAAAGTTATCTTATTTTGTGTCAGTATGTTGAACTTTGGGGTAAAATCATACCCTATATATTGTATTGTTATTTGTATTGACAACTCATCAAACACTGACAAAAATTATACACGTTTTTAAGGTTGGATGATATGATGATATATACAATATATATATAGGCCTATATAACATTGATATAAGTGATCACCCATTTTTAGACCAACAGGTTTTATTTCAATACCTTTATTGCATTTATACAAAGCGTTCACAGGCAAATTTGCTTTATTTCCCTGGCGTCTAAATCAGGCACATATAAATGTCAGGAAACACGATTCCTGTCAACATCCATGGATCACTAGATCTTTGATAAGTTGTAAGGAACATTATCGAGTCCTTTCTTTAGTTCAAACTGTTATAATCCTTTGTTTTACTATCATTTTAGCAGTTTCCCCTATTAAATCCAGTCGTTCCAGTGGGAAAGTGGAACACGCCCCCTGTAACCCTCTCTATACTAGTCTGCAGATTTTTAGCTCGAGAGTAGGAATACTACTTTTTTAAAAACTAGCATTTCAACTAAGTAGAAGTGTCGTGGCACAAATCTCTACTTCATCAGTATATTTGTTTATTATGAACCAGCAATCCTATGTTCTAATCTAGGACTATGGCTAGCATGAATTCAGCACATATACCATAAGTTTTTATCACACGGATGTTATTGAAAATAAAACATTTGGTATGTTTTTGTGTGTTATTTGTAATGTGATTACATAGTTTTAAAGTAGCTTCTTCAACATTGATGCTAAATTTTTTTCCTCTGTAACCATTTACATAGTCGGTAAGTGTATGACACCTAGGTTTTTTTTTTTTTTTTTGGGGGGGGGGGGGGGGGGGGGGGGTTTATCTGTTGAGCTTTCAAAAGTCATTTTGTTTATTCCAGCCTTAAGAAAATGTTATGAGCAAGCAGGCCACAGCCAAACTTTATGGTATTAAAGTATACAAACCTACAACAGATTTTAGATCAGATCAGATTTCACGATGTGACCTTGTATAATGAACAAATAATTTAAATGTATGGGAATACCTAATATAATAAAACAATACCTGAATTAAAAATGGAAGCAAAATCTCAGTCTGAATTTATAATCATTTTAAACTGGTTTCAGAATAAACCCCAGAGCAAGAATGAAATGAAAACTTCCCTTAAGCACAAGAAAAAGACATCCCCTGGGAATACTTTCTCCCACGCCAATGGATTCATGATTGGGCCAGTGGGTGCTTTGTACATTTCTGACCACAGCTGTGAGGAAATGTTTTATGACAGGGGGTTTGTGCAGTTTCAAAACGTCAGTTTCAAAAAATGCCTAAAGAAGTTGAACCTTATACTAATGATGTCAAACAATGATGCCACTCTCACAGTACAGTTAAAACACATCATATAACAATTACAGACTATGGTTTAAGCTACTTTATATAGACAAGCAAATGCATGATTAAATATTTTATTTGACAGTTAAAAAATTTCAAATAATGCAACTGCACCATTCAATACATTGAGCTTATGGGGTTAGAATTGTTGCATTATTTCAAATAAATAGATTGAGATTCACAAACAAATGTAAAGAGATTCACAAAAATGTATCAAATTCACAAATAAATAGATTAAGATTCACAAATAAATGTAAAGAGTTTCACAAAAAAATATAAAACTCAAATAAATTAAATGAGATTTGCAAATAAAAAAAAATTATTTACAAATGTGTTTTATGACACAAACACAACTCTGCCTGGCATTATGAATCGTTCAGTACATTTGTAAATCACTGCACGACGCATTTGTGAATTGCTTCTTGTGCATTTGTAAATCCCCTCACGCATCTGTGGATTTTGAAACACTTCTAGCGTCGACGTGCAGACAAATCCACAAATAAGTGGACTTCACCCACCGTTTCCTCAAGCCAATCAGACAACGGCCACATTGAGCTGACCAATCATAGCAGGTTCTCGCTACAACCAATGACGTTAGGCTTTAAAATCAGGGTGGTCTTACCCTGAAATAACTTTGCTCATTCATCTGCATTGGCTCAAATAGGAAGTGTAAGGCTAAGGCCCATAATATTGCTTCACTAAAATATGTTTAAAATTTGGATTTTCGTTAGAGTTGTTAGTTAGACCATTAGACCGTGTATCAAGCCAAGACACATTTTTATGAGCCTTTGAAAATGCCAGAGAAAAAGTGCTTATACATCTCTGTTAGGAACAACGCGTTATGGAAGCGTCACGTTATTCATGATAAAACAGAAAAGCATCAATAAGTTGCTGACTAATGAATAACTGGATTCAACCTCGTGATAAATACGCGAGTTTGTGTAATATAGGTGAAATTACTGTCACAACAGCTTTTCCCACTTCTTCATTCAAGTTTTAAATACGCAGCAGGTCCGTGGATCTAATGATCTATATAGAGCATTAAATATGTATCATGCATTTAAAAGTGAAATGCCAGCAGACAAGCGATTTCATATGAACATGTCATATGAATCCGACTTAATAATATTTTATTGTAAAAGTTACTTACAGCATCCAAAATAAATCCAAAGATGTATTTTTCAGCATTGCATTATCCACTCAAAACCCCAGTACACGCTGTTACATCTCCAATGATGGTCATTTGGGCTGATATTTAGTATTCTACATAATATGTATGTCCAATAGCTATTTGTCACCACAATTGTGCTTTAAAAGACAAAATCATGCGTTTTGTCATTTCTTGCATGGTGTCTACCCCGTGCAAGGCTGTCTACACTGGACAAAGCAAATGTCCAAATTATTTGTCCTCCGTGTAGTAGCCACTACTTCAGAAGAAGAACCGGCATCCGTTTACTATCAATGAATCATCGTGTCGCGCTGCGCCGCGTCCAGTGTAGACACTATCACTAATTATGAATTTTCATGTAGCCAGCACTAGTCAATAAGAAAGATTATAGACACGTCATATATCTGCAGGTAAGAAAACAGACGTCATGGGCAAAATGTGTTAACATTTTCTTGTGGTGTGAGGTGTGTTAAGAGTGACTGAATCTGCCAGGAAGAACATCAGAGCCGCTCTGATCTCTAATCGTAAATATTTAACATGAATATTCAACATTCATCTATTGTGTGGGAAGAACCCCGAGGACAAACGCACGCATCTGGAGATTATCACGTGAAACGAAACAATACCAAATCAGAAAGCGGGCTGAAGGAAGACTCGCCGGCAGCTCGGGCTGTAACATGTAAAGTCCATGTTCACACCGTCTCCACGACTTCATCAACATTTTTCCTTTTTCCCCCGCGAGTTTTCTGTAAAAAGCAGTCCATACACTATAAGCGCCATTTCTTCTTGCCGGTCGTCCGCCATGTTTGTTTACTTGAAAGTCACGTTTAATGTGAGATTTCCCATTTTCACGACTCTGTTGTTTGTGAATGGAATCTGTTAGTGTGTGTTGTGCTTTCCTAGTCACATCGCAGCACTCCACACACTAGAGGAACAAAACGGAATGTTTGTGGTCGCTCACATTAGAAAATTCTTATAAGATTTAAAAAAAATATTTTAGTGTGGCCCCAGCCTACATAAACAGATATGACCCAGTGCAGTGATAGGGCTCTGTTTCTTTCAGCGCACACTTGATTTGAAGTTTGAATTGCTAATGACCCACCTGAGCACACAAGTGTAAAATCCATTGTCCTCCATCTCTGCTGAGCGGAACCAAATGGAATCTCCCTCCTTGCTCAGCCGATGACCCGAGAAGATGATTGGCTCCTCAGAATCACCCTTGTTCCTGTACCAGATGAGCCGCAGCTTGGCATTCTGGGCCACGCTATAGTTGGTGCGTATGTAGCTGTAGAACAGAGCGCATTTCACCCTCAGAGGCTCTCCGGCCAACACACGATACGTCTTCAAGTCCACTGACCAGTCTATGCATCCGTCAACTGTAAGAGAGAGAGAAAATTCAACAATTTACAATTCACAAAGACAAAAAACAAACACACTAAAAAAAAACATTACATTTATCAAACACGATTGCCTGGTTTCACAGACAAGGCTTAAGCCTAGTTCCAGACTAAAATGCATGTTTGAGCTATTTTAACTGAAAGCAACTTGCGCTGTCATATCTTAAAATATGTCAGTGCTATTGTTTTGTCTCAAGATACACACCATTAATGTTGTTTTCTAAAGCACATAAAAGCCACTGAAATGTCCTAATTGAACTAAGGCCAAATCCTGGCTTAATCTAAGCCCTGTCTGTGAAACCAGGACGATGTTTCTTTAATATAGAGTGCTTCCTTTGCTGCATGTTGCTGTCAAGGGCAGCTTCGTTGATTATAACGGAGCTTAATAGCAAAATATTTTTTTTATAGGTAAAAGTGAATGTCCCACTATACACTGCTATCGTGGAGCCGTTGCTTTAGCCTATATCTGTACTTACTAGAGCACCCTCAGTGATTTGGTTCTGGAACCAGGCCTGCACAGAACTTCTCAATACAAATCGTTTCAAAACAGCTTTACAGAAACTAGAGATGTTCATTTTTATAATACCTTAAAGTTTAATTGCCCACATTGAGGAGTTTAGAGATGGGCGATTAGGACCGTTTATATTCGGTGATAATATAAAGGTTGTTCAAGGATGGTTCTATAATTTTAAGTCAATGAGCCCAACCCCAGCTCTCAAGATATGGCTTTGCTCCCTCCTTAAAATTAAATATATTGGGATATTTTCATCCAGCAGGTCAAAATCGTACATCCAGTTGTAATTTAAATGTAATAGCACATCATGATTTGAAGTATAATTTATGCATTATTAATTTATCCTGTATACCTTGTAACAATTGGACCGATCAAACACACCATTGCTCCATTTAATCTTCACAACCCCTCCCCCAGGCAGACTCTGTGATGTCTGATTTCCCCACTGAGAATTATCACCCTTTTGCTCCACTCATACACTTCAAAGACACTTGGTACATTGATTGTTCTTAATGAGAGAACAGTACAGGCTACAAGAAACAGACATGCAGTCCCATAGAAATGGAATTATCTCCACTAATTCATTGAAAAATCGGTAACACTTTACTTGAAGGGGTGTACATAAGACTGACATTTTTACAAGGCAATTTTACATATGATGTGTCCTTATAGCGAGGTCATTAGATTGAACATTACATGAACTGACATTACATCTCAGTTCCAATGTTTACTACCGATGATCACACCTTGACTGAGTGACGTAGTTCAGTTCGTTTCCCGGTGGGAGGGATCAGGTAGCACAGAGGGGAGGGGTGTGTGTGTGGAGGGGCGGGATGCGTTTTTTAAAAATTCAGGCTTTCTCGACCGATTTTCAAAATCGTATACCATAGCTTTAAGTTAAACTGTCATGTGGTTGGTTTTGACATTGGCTGTCATCAGTCCGTTATAACTGTGTCATGAATATTTTTCGTGACCTCAACTACAGTGGTACAAATTGAATTTGTCATTAAACAGTTATAATGGCTTCATGACAGCCAATGTCAAAACCAACCACCTGACAGTTTAATGTAATGTTAACCCATAAAGCTAAGTGGTTTCTTAAGTTTGATAATTAAAGGTTCTCTAAGCGATCCTGGGTGACGTCACTTCTTGTTGACGTTCGAACTATTGTCAAACAAAACAGAGGCTAGCTAGACCCTCCCTCCTCCTCATCTGCACACTAACCCCCCAAACCACACCCCCAAACCCTTCTTGTCGGTCATTGGCTGGAACAGTTTGTTATGTTTCGTGGAGCAGGTCGCCGCAGTTTGTTTTTGTTGCTGTTTGTGGAGCCTGGGCTGTCTACAGAGATCGCGTTTCTTTACAGTGTGTTCAGGGGACAGGCAGCCAGCGGATAGTGAGGAGATGTTTGCTGTATGTGACAAAAAATGTTTTGGCCTAAAAAACGCGTGACATCGCTTAGAGCACCTTTAATCTGCTATGTCATGTTTATGACAGGTTGTGTTGTCTTAGTAATGTCAAGTTGTCATGACAAAGACACTGACAGGTTATGATGTATTGGTTTATGTCAAGGTTCATAACAAAGACATCTCAAACAATGTCATATTTGCATTAAAAATGACATAATTGAGCGAATGACACTTAATGACAGTTGTCATAAACATGCATAAAACTTCCTTCATATTCATAACATGTGTCATGTCATGATTATGAAGGTGTCATGTTAGTCTTATGCACACCCCTTCAAGTAAAGTGTTACCGAAAAATCTGTCAAAAAAATGCCCAGTACATTTTGTGTATTATTACTGTTTGTATATTGTCTTTTTATATTGTATAGTGTTATGCATGTCTGATGTGTACATTCCTCAACCAGAACAGAGTCAACTAACTCCACAAGTTCACCATAGCTTCTTCATTTAACACTTAAGAAATCGATTGCAACTTCAGCACCATCGGACCAAACTATCAAGACTTTCTCCACGCGACAGTATATCAAGACGCTCTTCAACAGTTAAGGCAAATGCAAGTATCGTATGATATACTAAATCGCTGTTTAGCTAAAGTTGTGAACCACATTGTTAATTAACAAAGGAGCTTTGTAGTAAGGGACTGGTTGTTCTTCCAGGAGGTTAAATAACTCTTTCAGAGTTTCATTCCTCTGTTCCGTTTCAGTTTTATTGGTCACTTTCACTTTACATTTTACCCATGTATGTTTGTTTAGATTAGTTATGTTCGTGATTTAGTTAAATAAAACTTTTGTGTACATTCTTACCAGTTGATTCTTGTCTGCTTATAAATCAATGTCAATTTTACAGTTATGATCAAAGCTACATGCTAAGAAAGAGTTATTTTTCTGTGGCCACGGAAAATATCCTTTCTGAAGAGCTGATAGACGATTAATACTGAGTGTTCGCTGGATGAAAAGACTAATTTATTGTAATATTAATTCAGTTACATGAAGTTAACTCGATTAACTGATCCAAATATTTATTTTTAATTATAACGAGTTATGATTAATTATTTATATTTCCCTTTTGAGCTAATTTGATAGCTCAACCTCAAACAGCACAAGTTCTGCACCAGACTTCAGTTATATTTAGGGATTTGTTCAAATCTCTATTAAATAAAATACTGTTAGGCTTATATTTTAGTCTTTAGTTTCATTGTGTTTTGGTTTAGTTTTCCCTGTTCCCTGTCATTGTTATTATGCTACATTAAGATTGCCAGTCCAAATTCGATTTGTGTGCATATCCGATTGAAATCCGTACCGATTTAGCAATTGTGAAGGGCAAAAAAATATATAGCTATATATACATAAAAATAAAAATACGCTTAGAGCTAATATAATACTAATAATAAACTTTATTTTATATAGTGCCTTTAAAAGTAGCATCTCAAAGCACTTTACATAAAAATAATTAAATTAAAAGGATACACATAACAGTCAGTAAAAACTAAACAAGCTATAAAAATAAAAAGCCAATATAATAAGAAACAGAGTAATCACACGAATCACATAAAAGCCACCCTAAAAAGGTAAGTTTTAAGGGACGATTTAAAAACTCTAAGGGATTCTGCATTCCTAATCTCAGAGGGCAGGGAAATTTCACAATTTAGGAGCCCAAGAAGAAAAAGCCTGATCACCCATAGTTTTTAGCCGTGTTGTTTGGACAGTTAAAAGACCAGCTTCAGAAGATCGTAAAGCACGTGTAGGAGTGTAGGGGGTTAAGAGCTCACACAAATATTGAGGGGCCAAATTATTCAAGGCCTTATAAGTGAGCATGAGAATTTTTAAATCAATACGAAAACTAACAGGAAGCCAGTGCAATTTTTCAGGTGTGATGTGCTCCCTTGCACTAGTCCTAGTCAGAACTCTACCAACTGTAATTTACTTAGGGTAGCTTTAGAAACTACAGCCAGCAAAGCATTACAATAATCAATACGTGAACAAACAAAAGCGTTGATTAACTTTTCAGCCACAGAGAAAGTCAACATAGAGTGTAATTTGGCAATGTTTCTGAGATGAAAAAATTATGTTTTGACTGTGTTACGAACATGATGGTCAAATGTTAAATTGGCGTCAAATATCACCCCCAGATTTTTTAGTTTAGTTTGGAATTTCAAAGCAGAACCATCCACACTTAAGGTTATGGACTCTGCTTTACGCAACTGATGAGGTGAACCAATAAGCATCACTTCAGTCTTATCACTGTTTAGACAGAGAACATTTTCAGACATCCATTTCTTAATCTCAGTATAGCATTGAGAAAGAAAAGACACAGGCATTTTGACATCAGGTTTTGAATGTATATAGATCGGCATAGAGTGTCATCGGCATAAAAGTGAAAGTTAAGACCAAGTGTTCTTAAAAGTTGGCCAAATGGAAAAATGTAAATACTAAAAAGTAACGGGCTCAAAACAGATCCCTGGGGAACACCAGAGTGCACCACACCGACCTCAGACTTGCAATCACCCATCACAACAAACTGCTTGCGATCAGAGAGGTAGGACTTAAACCACTCTAATGCAGAATCAGAAACTCCAAAGATAGTCTCTAAGCGGTTTATTAAAATAGATGATCTATAGTGTCAAAAGCGGCACTAAGATCAAGAAGAATCAATATAGATAGACGGCCAGAATCAGAAGCCATTAACAAATCATTAGTAACTTTGACTAGCGCTGTTTCAGTGCAGTGGAGTTTGCAAAATCCAGACTGAAGTGGCTCAAAAAGATCATTAGAGGAAAGATAAGAAAGTAGTTGAGAAGCCACTGTTTGTTCTAAAAGCTACATTCATATGTGGTTTGAAAACCCATTCAAATCGCATTTCTGGAAATCCATTTTTTTTACTTTTAATATGAAACAAAGTCTCAGCTTTCAGATTCTGTCGATTCTATCACGAAATTCAAAAAATAAATAGGCCTACCGTTTTGGCTCTCTTACTTTTGACAGATCACTAGTGTTCAA